TGACCTCTCATGTGGAACAGAATGGGTGATGCTCCTTACCTTCCGGACTCCGGTCAAGGTGATTGCCAGGTGATGCCTGCCCTGACTCCTCATCCACTAGCACCTTAGATGCTTTTGTCTTTAATCTCATACTTGTCTCCCTATCTAGGACTTCTCTGGCTGTTACGCAAGTAGAATGGTTCAGAGTTCAGTGGGCAGTTACTTAAGCCATACGTCTGTGCCACGCTGACCTGCAGATGGGGCTGAGAGAGCTGCCTGCCTCTGATGGCTGTTGTGGAGCTAAGTGTTGTCACATGTGTAAAGTGCTTAGTGGAGGGGCTGGCATGAGTTAGTGGGCATAGCCAGCTGCTGTGGCACTCGGCCCCCTCAGTCCCCGGTTTTTCCTTCCTCTCTTCCTTTCTGCATTCTTTTTCCTTTCTTTTTCGTTTTCACTTTTCCCTCATCAGTACAGAACGGGTGGATGACACTGTAGGAAACATCTAGAAGTGTGAATGACTAATGGTAAACTTGGGGGCAGTGGCATCAATCTGTCAGACCACAGGGGCTAGCAGGGACCATGCAGCAGAGGTGGAGTGGGGCCAGAGAGTAGAAGCCTTCTGAACTGGCAGGAATACCTGGTATGATTGGTGGTGAGGAGTCACCCTGCTGTTGTTCACTTGGTGATCAACCACTGGGAGCAACTACAAACACATGCCACCTTACCCATCTTTTTTCTTTGGCTGTACTGGGGTTTGAACTTGGGGTCTTGTGCTTGCTAGGCAAGTGGTCTGCCACCTGGGCCACACTCTGTCCCAGTCCAGCTTTCTTTTTAAGAGTATGAATGGGATGGTTTAGGATTTGGCCTAAATTTGTCGCTTTTATTGAGCCTGCCTACTGTGGATACCATCAAGAGGGACTTCCATCTGATATTTTACAGGCAGGACAAGAGCAGCCCAAGTCCATTAGCAGAGAAAGAATGTACCTGAGTTTGTCTTTAGAGCCTTCTTGCTGCATTGGGATCTTGTGGGATTCTGGCCTTGACCTTCCACATTTTCCTAGTGAATTTGATGAAGGTAGGGGTCATGTACATCTGAGTTATTTAAAGTCATCTGTGCGATTTTATTTTGTAGGATGGAACCCAGGGCCTTGCACACATGGAAGGCATGTGCTCTGCCACTGAGCCACCCCCACTCCCAGCATGAATGTGTCTGATTGTCAAGTGAAAAGGGACATTGGTGGGTGTAAATTGGCAAATAATGTGAAAGACTGATGGCCTGGATCTGTTAGAATCTGAATCCTGCTGCACAGGTGAAGGTGGAGGCTGTGGGGAAGTGTGGCGAGTTGTAGTTGACAGACATCAGCCATGCTATAGAGCTACGAATCAAAGCTGTGTCGTCAGCCCTGGAAGAAGGTGTTCTGTTGGTTCCATCCTGGTGAGACCACCGGAGAGGAGCAGCTGTGTGCAGCTCTGGCCAGCATACTTTGAGGGACAGAGACAGATGGGAGCCTGTTTATAAGAAGTGGAGATTGGAACTGACCCATTGAACACAAACTTGTTGAGAGTGCAGGTTCTGTGCATCTCTCTGGAGTTTTGGAGTCAGTGCTAGTGTCCCTTTCCTAGTATGTGCTCAGCCGCTGTCCACTGAGTACATAAATAAGATTATACTTGAACTTCATCAGGACCCTGGAGGCCACTTTCATCTCAAAGAAGGGCTTTCTAGTAGAGCTTCCATATGACAGTCATCACTGAGGCCATGTGTCTGCAGGTGGGGTGCACGGGGACAAGCTCAGGTGGGTGATTAGGTTTGTAGACCCTGTGAATTCGCTTTCCTCCACAAGATCAGGGCTTTTTGGTGGGGGAGAATAAAAGCGAGTGGGCAAAAATCTGTGATTGGTGAGGTCAGTGGGAGCAAATCTATTTGTAAATGAATCTGCCTACAAACTAAGAGTGCACCCCCACCCCCAAACAATGTTTTTTTATAATTTCTAGATGAAATGCCCTAATTTGAAACCGCATTGAGTAGAATTTCAGTTAATGGTGTGAATTGCAGTCCCATCTGCTCGGCTCCATGGCCCAGTAGATCCGTGGAGCCATTTGTCACAATTTGTTTTAATCCCTGGAAGAAAAATACTCCTGGATGCTGTCCAGAACCTCTCCCAGAGAGGCTGCCTTTGGAATGTGGAGGGAGAGGGTGAGAATGCCAAGGATGGGCAGAGGTGGGGCCTGGGCAGCATGGTGGAAGACAGGGCTCCAGTCTTCCCTCACCAGCTTGCTGGTGACCTTGGGTGAGCCATGCAGCCTGGCAGCCATGGTGCCTGGTGAAGAGGGGACCAGTAGACCCTGTGCCTCTCCAAGGCAATGAGACCGTTTAGTTTTTCATTCTTTCCGCTCATTTTTTGAGCTCCTGTTATATGCCACACTCCATCCTAGCCATCCAGCAGTGCCATTGGTTTTTCTAGCTTCAACATCTAGGATGTCAAGATGGACATCACTGATGTCCATCCATCAGTGTTACTGGAGAGTAGCATTTCTTCAGACATAAGGACCGTGTGTGTGAAAACTGTCCTGCAATCAGAAGTTGCTAGCCTTTGTTGTTGTTGTGCTTGGGCCTGAAATGGGAAAGAAGGCCAATTCAGAGGGCTTGAAGAGCAAGGCAGGAGGGTGTGGACAGCTGACGAGATTCGAGATGCGTACAAAGCACCTTTGATGAGTGAGGGAATGTAAAGCAGCTGGGGCGAATTCTTCCCAGCCAAGGTGGTGGTGCAGCCAGGACTCTGAGGAGATGGCTTTGTTTAATGAGAGGCTGAGGAAGGCCTACAGGGAGAGCCTGGGCTCTGTGGTATGAGGCACCATTGTGTGAGGGGAGCACTGTTCTGTTAAGTGGAGGTGCACTGGGAAAGGGGGTTCCAAGATAGTAGCCAGTTGATTCAACTCACAAGCATTTATTAGACACCTACTGTCTGAAGCACAGAGGGGCACACAAAGATGAGTGGAAGTAAGGTTCTGACTGAAGGTAGCCTAAGTCTAGTGGTGCTAGAAGCTGTGGAAATAAATTTCAGTGTGGTACAGGTACAGAGCTCAAAGTGAGAGGTGCTGAGGAGGGTTGCCTAGTAGAGATGACAGATGACCAACGGGCCTTATCATATGACTGGGCATGGGGTTGGTGCAGGGTGGAGGAAAGGTCTTCCCAAGTAAGAGCTTTGGAATACTTCATGTGGTCGCCTTCTTGTCCTGGTGCAGGTCAGAGAGCCCAGAGCCAGGTGTTCATTTGACTCTTGGAACAATGGGGCTGTATTTCAGTGTCCCCAAAAGATGGTCATTATAGTGTTTGAGGAGAAGAATTCTTGTGCTCCAGCTGCCTTAAGTCTTTTCTGGAACAAAAAGGTGGATGAGCTGTGACTGTGTGAAAGAGAGACCAGGGCTAACAGGTGTTAGGAGTCAGAGGACACAGGGGCAACTCTGTGAGTGAGCATCAAATGAGGGAAGAACACAGACTCCTGTGCACCAGGAGGAGAACTAGGGAGGCCAGCCACAGGGGGTAGGGGAGGAGCAGGCAGTCTGGACAGACATGGTGTCTTTCTTTAAATGACTGTCTGGAATTGCGGCTCTCGGCCTTGGTCGAGCCCGAAGCCTTAAAACCAATAAGAAATAGGAAGTGAAGTGAGTGAGAGAAGGGGCCTAGACATTTA